TGGTTTAATTCTACCTTCGTCTTGGCACATGATTCATTTCATTTGAGTCTGTATGGAACATTGATCTCTGTCAATTAAACTGTTTACATCGTAGTCAGAAGTTCTTGTCGAGTTCGTTTTAACACTACGCACTGCTCTACGCATGTGATTACTTGGATTTTTGGCCTGCTTTATTCTGTCCTTGTAATTCACAGGCATAGCAACCTGCAAATTGACTGGATAGAGAACTAGAGAAATCATAGACAAACGATGCCTTCTAAATAACAATACAAAGAGTAACAAAAAAGTAGTCTATTGTACCTGTCTTGTACTACAAGTTTAATTTTTTAAGGAAAACAGAGGATTTTCTTGGCTACATTCAATTGGAAAGCAGGAAGGAAGTCAACAAATGTTATTTTTTTTCAAAAGAGCAATTAGTGCAAAAAGATGTGTATGACATTACACTAACCTTTCCATCGTCCACATCGTCACCAACATCTTCAACATATTCCTCGTCAACAGAAGCCTCTGTAGCATCAGCTTCAGTCGGTTGCGCGACCTCCTGCTCGTTTTCCACTTCATCTTCTCGCGCCATTACACACACATCTTGTCATGTCCCAATAGTTTAATGCCACGTATACAACGCAGCAAAAAAAAATCAAATCAGTATAAAACAGGAAATGAACCGTCTGCGTAGTCTAAACAATCCAACTGCTACTAGCTATGGCTTTAGCGCTATTTGATATCCAGTCCTCAGACAAAACAAGGGGAAATCATTCGCCCAAAGCGAAGGAAAACAGCTTCCATTCTTCCAAGAACGGACTGAAGGAAGCAACAGTCGAGAGAACACAACGACAACAAAAGTAAAACACTTCTGACACCAAAGGCATCTCTCGGAAGGCCTCATTCAAGCTGTTTATACCTTCGCATCGGTACGATCATTCCAAATGCCTAAAACATCACAGGACATAAGAGACACACAATGAATGTTCAGACTTTCTATTTACTACACACACGCTGAATCACGCAAGATTAAGTCACTCACCATTGCCGACCAGGACAAGCGATGCCGGTAAAACTAAAAGAAACAGAAAAAGAAATTTCCGTAGTAAAGAAAACATGATGGATTATTTCCAAAACCGTCCCTTCTCGCAAGATGGAAACGGATTCTCTGACTGTGTTTTCACACAATCAGTCGAAAATGGCTGCCAGAACAAAGAGAGCTATGAGACGAAGACCCCTCAAACATGACTGATCAGCGGCAGAGCGGCTGATTAGTTACCAGCTTTTCGCCGACAGAACGCTCCGATATTGAGCCAGCGATCAGTGTGTACAAGTAGCCGTCTGATTTCAAGTCGATCTTTAGGGAAATTTCGCCCTTTTGAACGCCAAATTAAGGAACTAGTTTTCAGCATGCTTATCAAAGTGAAGGTATTAACGTCTTGATTCAAGCAGTTAATTGCGTTTTCGTTTTTGTAATGATGTTTTCTTTTTCTCTCCGTCATCTTCAAAGACCTTAACTGGAAAGGAGGTAAGAGTGAAACTGGATAAGAATTGGGAATTATTTAATTTGGAGCGACCTACACCATATAATTGGCGAAATCCGTCAATGGATAAACGACAAAAACTATAACCCTGACCCTTAGAGCAAACGAGGTACAGATTAATGCGAGCGAATCAAGATAGAGGAGTGCAAATCAAGTGGATTCTTTCTGTGTCCTCATCTCACATGTGATCAGTAGCCAGTCAATGGAAATTCCAGAAGTGTTTGGTGTACTGTACTTGTGACTCATAAAGTTTTGCTGTAAAACACAGTGACTTCGTTGAATTTATCTTGTTATATTTCCGATTTGCAGATTGAGATTGACATTGAACCTACAGACAAGGTAAAATAACATCAATCTTAAATTAGCCATCACTAAAACCTTCAAGGTCCCTGTATCCCATCTGTTCATCCATTGAGCTCATTATTGCTAACTTTTCATGCTGCATAAGGCCATCCCCTTTTTTCTCTGTTTAGCATCATCCAACCAACTCAGATTTTCACATTTTCAAAAAAAAAAAGTTATGCAGAAGGCAATGAAGGCAGTGACACATTATTTCAAACAATTGTCACTTTAATCTGAAACATAAGCAAGTTTTTGCCTTACAGATTTTTAGTTTTTTCCCTGTTCTCGTTTGATTTTAACAACGACGTTGATTTTTCCTTCCTCCATTGCCGCCATGTTGACTTTGTAACCACACCTTGTTGTTTCCAGGCTCCATGGATATTATGCTGAGGTACCGGGCCTCCTAGCTCCAGACTCCTTTTCCAATTTTATTTTTGTTTTTTTTTTTCCTTTTCTGACCAACCGACCCAAAATCAGAAAACTTATTCCACAATATACGAAAAAAGGGGAATGGCCTAATCACTATGGTTTGGTGCTGGTATAACTTGACTGGTGGACTTACTCACTTGTACTTTTGTGTCTGTGGGAGGTAGATTCATCAAATATACATAGGTAATGCACTGGATGCAGATTGAGAAAACTGGTTACAATCACTGCTTTGTGTTCATGAGCTGGACACTTCTCTCACAGAAGTGACAAAGCACTAACACTCAAAATTTCAGCTTCACTAACTCACTACACTCAGTTAATTTACCTTTATCAGCTTCAAGTTGATTTGTAGCTAGGTGTACCACTCTCACAGTACCTCTTGCAACTTGGTTGTGTGAATGGGAACTGGCCATCTTAAAAATGTAATCCAAACAAAATGTGGGGATCTAACTGCAATGACATAGCATCTCATCCAGGGGGATGTAGTAGTGCCATAGGTTTTCTGTTAAGCCCTCCAGGGAGGAGATTATTTAGTTCAAGCAGGTTTTAAAGAAGGGATCTTATTTTATTTAAAACAGCACACTGGCAGGTTATACCAGCTTAACACTTTTTTCTGTGCAGTGTTTTGATCAGTGAAGGATCTTACCTTATTCTTTCTGAGTACTAAAGTAACTGGTTATCAGTAGTTCATATAGTGTGATCATCTGGGTGACAGTAGTTCCGAACTTGACCCTGATGATGACGTTTCTCAAAGCATCAATCACCAACAACAGTTCTTTTCAGAATTACCCCATACCCCGACAAGTACACTATGTGAACTTTCTGAGCACCAGTGCTACATAAGCACCAGTAACATTTCCCCAAAGCTTGCAAACACTGTATTTAAAATTGCACCCAGACATGATAAAAATGCACCTGTGAATAATTTAAGTCTGTCTTTAGATGATTTAGTTACGAACAAGGAGAGAAGTGAGAGGAGGAGGCTCCAGAGAGAGAGGGCGGCCTCGGTTAATTAAAGGGGGGGTTATTAGGGAGGGGTGACTTAGTTGATAATTTACCATACCTCATATTGTTTCGTTCTGTTTAAACCAGGATAATCTCATGCAAAATCAGAGGCTAAATGAGCCAGAGTGCAGACTTTCATTTACTTTTTTGGCTCGTTAAAATTATTTTATCTCCCAATTCCACCAAAAAAGGTTGAAAGAATAAAAGAAAGAGTTGAAGAAAAGGAAGGAATCCCTCCCCCACAGCAGAGGTGAGAACATTCCATCCATTATAGCTTTTGTGATATTACATTAACAGTCATACACATGGGTCCAAGCATGAAGTTAAGATAGCTGGATATTGGCCAATTTTTTTTTGGGAGGGTTTATGGACTGAGATGGAGTCAAGGTCTATAAAAACACAAAAGAACGTGGGCGAATCCAGATATCTTGACAGAACAAGCTTGGTCAGTAAAGGTTTTATTATATCGGAAAGAACACATTTATTTCTAGGACACAGCAGGTAATCCTGGGCAGGCAAGATAGCGCCATCTTGCCCACTCAGTTAGCCCAGCACAGCCCCTGGGAGTGCCGGTGGGGGGGGGAGTACACCATATAATGGCCCATACAGGAGGCTCCACCCAAAAGGAGTGCCTGTTTCAGGCTTCAGGTGTACAAAAGGGTAGGGATTTTGCAAGTTGAGGTACATGAAAGGGTAGGGAAATCTGTCATTTAAGTCCAACATGAACGTGAACTGAATATAAAGGACTTGTTTTTGTGGTTAACATCTCCTCTGGTTATGCTTGATGTTAACTTCTTTCCAAAATGGTATGCGAAAGGGTAGGGGTCAGACCTTTGGGTGGAGCCTCCCTGTATAGAACTTAGCAGAATACCCCCTTCCCCCCTGAGATGTATGTGTGTGCCAGGAAAGCAGGATTTGGTTCATCGTTCCTGCTCATGGAGCTACAATCTTGGTCAAACTAAATGAAAAATTAAGACCACCCCTCCCACCATTTCAGTGGGGGAAAATATGGCGTGTTTTGGTCGCAGATTTATTTCTTATTTTATTCTGTCCAAGATCGTAGCCATATAATAAATAGAAGTTACTGAACTAGCATGAGGTCCATATAATTTAGACAAATATTGGCCAAGTTCGTTTTTTATGGACCTTGCCTGTAGCTCAATCCATAGACTTGCTAAAAAAGACAAGACCAATATGCTCCAATATGGGCCAAACAAGCTACAATCCTGGCCAAAAGTCCTTGGGACACTTGACAAAATGACAACTGGTGATGCGTTATTTTGGAGTAGGAAGTCATTATTTAATTTGCCATACCCCCTCCCCCGAAAACAGTGTTGGAATAGTGGGTCTACTTTGGGTGAATCAACATCAACATTGTGTTGGGGGTGGGGAGGGGGAGGTGGATAGAAAGACCATATGATAGCAAAAGTGCAAAGTGTCCCAAGACTTTTGACCAGGATTGTAGTTCAATAACATGTTTATTATAATGGCTTGCTTTAATCTGCGGATCATAAATTGATGTGTTTCTGCAATCCATTCTAGATAAACCTGCACACAAAAGATAAGCATGCATTTACATTTCTTTTGTCCAGCAAGGAAGGTTAAACGATTTCTCCTTAACAAAAAAACTGTTTTTTGTGCAATCATTTGAAAAAGCGATGCAGCGAAATTATTTCATGAGTGTTCCATCTAAGCAGTCTGTATTGCAAAATTTAGACCACTAGGGAACCAAGCAGAATTCTCCTTTTCATCGGGGACCAGTTCAGCCATATAATAAAGGTCATTATAGCCTCCCTCTAAACTAAAACTGTTTTTAAAGCATCCCCTACTGTCTTGGCTTTTTCACTTAGTAACAGCATAATTGCAAGAAGTGTGATGGCCTAATGGTTAATATGCTAACCCAGGATCAAGTATTCTGGGTAGAAACTGGAGTAATGCACCAAGAGCGATGAGCCAGTTGGACTTAAGTGGTTGACTTAATGGTGTAAACTATACTGTACATCATGATGTTCGTTATCTCAATAACCATGCATGTAATATTTCTTTGTTTGTATGTTTGTCTGATATCAATTATTTAATGACTGATTTTTTTTGGCATATCTCTGAAGCCCTCTGAACTTTTCTGTGGAGAAACTTCTTGCAACTTGTGTGGGAAAATACCAAGTGGGCTTGCCATGATTGTAACTTACATTATAGTTAGAGGACAAAAATTGATAAATAATGTACAAGAACTGAGTTCTGCTGGAACAAAGTATTTGTATTTTTTGTAACTTTCACTGCCCTTGTCATGTCTAGTAAAAAGCAAAAAAAAATGGTATCATTTGTCTATTCTTTTAGATATCTTTCTACTTCAGAATTTCACATTCTTATTTACACCTGTCTACTTCAGAGTAGAATGTAGGCTAACAACATTACCTCTCCATCTTGCTCTGCCCTGTGCAAGTTGAGAACTCAAACAAATATCTTGTAAATTTTATTTTCTTTATTCCAGGTTGATATTTAGTGGAAAGCAAATGTAAGTATACTTTCTGTATTTAATCCAGTACATTGAAGGTTTCAAACTTGATTTATTAATTTTACTTGCTGATCGCCACACATCTTTATAAGGTTACATTTGAGAATCTAACAGTTTCTTCAGTAGGCTTGTTCGAAAAAAGAAATAATTTGGATGAACTCATTACATGTAACATCCAGACCAAGGCTGAAGAAAGATCTATGATCCAAATTTCATTTAAAACCCAAGATTCGAACATCAAGACAGGCACAATCCGGAATCCGCGACAAAATTCACAGCTGATCCATGATCCACTTTGTTTGCAAAATCGGTGAATCCACTCAATTTACTGCAAAACTCCACAATCTGTGCTCTTTTTAAGGCCAAATCCGTCGATCTGAAAACCTATTCACCCCCCTCCTCTATTGAATTGGCAAGTAACATTTTGCCAGGGCAAGTATGTTATCTGGCATACTTGCCCAGCTGACATCTTGGAGAAAAACCAATATGGACCCCTGCTTAATGGAATCTATCAAAAAAGGCTTATGTTATGATCTCATGACTAATTTTCGTGATTCTCAGCTTCATTGTTTTGCAATTTCATAGCAACAGATAGAACCTAGATAATGTTTTTATTATTATAAAATTATTTGACCTGTTTGTTGACAGGAATGATGACAAAACCGCTGCAGACTACAAGATCCAAGGTGGATCTGTTCTTCATCTTGTCCTCGCCCTGAGGGGGGGCTTTTTGTAACAAAAGAATTAGTATTAATTACCTGTCAAGTACCGTCATTGTGCAGTGCTGTTAGTGATAGAATGCTGTAGTTGTGTTTCTTGTAGGAAGGCTGGAATGTAAAATAAGTACAAGAAAATCCATGTCCTTTTTTCCACACCTAAGTGTTGTATTTACTTTTGACCAGTTTTTATGAAATAAAATATGTGCATGGATATCAAAGTACAATTTTACTGTTGTTGATGGACTTGTTCATAACCAGTGCAACATATCACAGACATACCTAACTGTAGACACAACTCTTGCAAGGATAATGGCTACAACAAAATGTCAAGCATGAAGTTCTAATGAAGGGTGGTGGTGGCAGAGGTGACAGTAGGGATTGTAGAAGGGTGGACATAGGACTAGAGTAGTTTCATCCAAATGCAAAGCAATCACTGTGGCGAAGGACAACTTAGGGTCTCAACCAGAGAGCCTGTTCATGAGCTAGAAATTCTCAAAAGGTTGTATCTCAGCCAGGTCAATTGAGTTCATATAGAAGCTCTCTCAGTTGGACTGCTCTGTAAACAAACAAACCATCTTTGGGTTCAACTTGTAAATATAATGCCTCTTTGAAAAAATTATTAATGAGCTCATTGACTGTTATATAATTAAACTATATACTTTAAAGTTCCAAAAATAATGGCCTCAAAAAAGTAATGACCTTTCAAAATTAGCTATAAAATTTAATGGTCATTAGCAAGTCCTGTCAGTAGCAAAACCGTGACTCTCCAAAAGTAGCAACCTCAACAGTAATTCAACTTTAACAGACACCAAAAATTATACATTAACTAGCCAGCTCTGATGCTAATACTCAGGAACAACTACCATCTATTTGATCCATAAATTACAACAACTTTTGTAGTGAAATTTATGTCCATTTGTCCCGTTGATGTCAACGTTTCTTCGCGGCTCTATGTGTATGCCAAGCAGACCTATCTTTTAGGGCATTGCCGCTGAGCTAAGAATTTTAAGATTCCGGTTGGATACCACGTGATGGTCTCGTGACTTCCTTTCGCCTAATTTGGGATTGTTGACCTTTGCTCGTTCATTGTGACGCAGGCGCAGATGTAGTAAACATTACATCATCTTTTCCGGACCAAAACAAACTATCGATTGAGCGGTGTTTTGAAGGGCGTAGGATTTTATATCAAAAAGGGGAGTATGTCGGAGGGAGAAGCTGAAGGTTCGATACAGGTAGAAGACACTTCCGAAAAAGAAAATATCGAGCCTCCTTTGAAGAAAGTAAAGACAAGAGAAGACAGAAAAATTGATCGTCTTGGTAAACTCGAGGCGCGATTGAACGACATTTTGAGTTGTACCGTTTGCCTCGATTTGCCCACCAAGTCCGTTTTCCAGGTGAGAATCGAACTGAGTTACAACAGTGTATAAAATGTCACGCTGTTTGTTCAAATCTCTGTTACCTTTAAAAATGATTTTCTGTACTCGGGTTAACACTCTTTGCCGATGTCAATTCTGGTCACATCCATCAATACCTGCATCATTCGTGCTTTGTTTTTGCTTTACATCCAATCAAGATATGTTTATAGATACACCCTAATCCAGCTTTTGCATGCATGAATTGTAAACCTAAGCTTCATCAAATACGGTGTGGTGCTACAAAACTCCATGAGTTTAATTCAACACGTTGAGGTTACTTGACGTGGCGTTCCGTTGTTTGAGTTTCATGAACATTTAGAACTGCGCAATACTATTTGAATAATAGGTTACATTTTTGATAGCTGGCAAACACTGTATAAAACAAATTTTTGTGTTGAACAATTGCGGAGATCTTTATAAGCTCCATGAATTTTGCTGCTCTGTTGATTTTCGACCGGCCGGCATGCCCTCAAGGATATTGTATTTTCAACTTGCTCTGGTGGTAGAGTGGTTTTTGTAATTTGCGAACATAGCCAGCTACTGGTGTTGAAGAAAGGTAAATAGAATGGGAAAGATTTTTCAGTATTTAAATATTTATGTCAGTGATAGACCTCGGTTTAAAACTTTGAAACATTCTTTGTTTCAAGTTTACATTGCACGACATTTTCACGTGGCCTGTCACGATGCTCTTGTAACATGACACGCTTCAGTAAAAAACAAAATATTTACCCTGGTTGCGCAATTTTTTTTCAATCAGTTGGTGTATTAGTTTAGTTATCACAATAATTTGTTTTTAATATTTTATATGTGAATATTTAATTTAATTTTTTTACAGTAATAGATGTTTTCAAACACACAGGGAGAAACCTGCCAATATATGGCACCATTTGAATCACTTTCTTTTGCTCTGGCTTTTATATGTGTCACTGAAAAATCATAAAACACTCTAGGTGGGGACTGCTGGAGTTATTTCAATGCTAAGTCTTAAATCATGTGACAGCATTTCAATGAGAGAAGCAAAATCATCGTACCAAGGCTGCTTTCGTTTAAAACTCTTATGTGTCATAACATAGAATTTCATGACAGAGTAAGATCTGTAGGTGGTGAACCTGTGACTATTTGAGAAGTTTGAATTTAATAAATATTGTCTTCAAGTTAGTGATTTAGTGGTGTTTACCAAAACACAGAAAGATTGATGGACCCAGTTTAATTTTGTTCTGAACTGTGTATTACGTTTACTTACTTGCCACTGTTAACATGATTTTGGCTACGAAATGTGCAGTTTTTTCCCAAGATTCCCTACACGTAACTAAACTTTCCTGACCCACCCCTCCCCAATGTGTGAACAGCCACTTAAAGACCAAAATATCCAAATTTTGTGTGTTCTGTGTGATGTTGACTTCAGCCCTTTTTTCTGTTTCAATGTAGTGTCGTAATGGACACCTGATGTGTGCATCCTGTTTCACGCATCTTTTGGCTGATAGTCGACTAAAAAATGAGCAATCTACGTGTCCAAACTGCCGAACTGAAATAAATCGCAATGTCTGCTCCCGTAACTTAGCTGTCGAGAAAGCCATATCTGAGCTTCCCACAGAATGTTCCCACTGCAGTCATGAACTACCGCGAAGCTGCTTGAAAAATCATGAGGACAAAGAATGCTTAAACAGGTAAGTGAGCCCTTTTACTGTATCAGTGTCATTCTCTTCAATATTGAAATGATTTGCATTGAATTACTGCTTTACTGTTGCTTGTTTCTCAGTCTTTTTGCAGCCCTTGATATGTTTTTGAGTTCATAATGTTGATGAAATAAAACAGTGAAAAAATACTTGTTTGCATTGATCTCTGATTGTGTGAATTAGTTGGGAGGGATGAATGGGGAGGGTGCACTGTGGGTTGATATCATTCTGCAGCTGGATTCTAACTTCGTAGAATCAGCATTTCTCTACCCTCACCATAACTTTGCAAGTCATTCCCACCCACCAAAACATAGTGTTTGCATCTCATCTATGTGTTTTTTTAGCAAAATCTGTATGAATGAAGTATCCATAGTAAAATCGCGTAATTAAACAAGCATAACATAACACCGATACTTTGAGCATGGTATTGCTATCTTGCCTTAACATCAAAGAAAAATTCTGTGACAATCAATTTTGTAATGGTAGTATACTTTGTATAATGAAGAGCATGCTTAATGTATTTTTTGTAATAATACTAGTGGTTTACTGTTAGTACAGTAATTTCAACAAATATGAACTTTAAAATATAGTGTAGGTGTAACAGTGTCATATGTTGAACAGGTCTTACTGTATTTAGTACTGGTAGCAATCTCTGTATGTTAGACTCTCGACAATAAATATTACGTTTGAAGAGTTGAAATAAAATGGATTCAAATGGTGAATGTGTGTTTGCCATTACTGTATCTAACATACTTTTTTTAATAAACCATGGTCAAAAGGTATTTCAACTGTGGGCAACTGATATTTCAAATATTTGCTTTCCCCAAACTAACAGATAATGAGCCATGGCTTTTTCCTTTCACTAACCATTAGAGTCAATACTTGAAAGTCAGGTGCTGACAGTTAAACTGTCGTCATGAAATGTCTACAGAAATGTCAAGTTTCAAACAAAGTCAGATGGTAAACATATGGCCATTGTTGCAGTATTGTTGGGAGACTGTTGAATGGAATGCTAGGCACACCATGAAACCATAAAACTGACTGTCACTGTGCGGCCCCCTTGATGCAGTTGTTTAGAAACATTTCACAAGTTGATGTGTGTAGGGCTAGATGGGTCCTGGTTGACATAAGCTGGTCCAGAATGTGCTATGTGGCTCCACACACATCATAAGACATTTTTACAAGTCAAGCTGAGTAAAGATGGCATTTACAGAACTCGTTCAACCTTGATGGGCAAATATTTGGCTCTTGGCCATTTTGCATGGATCTCACTCACTGTATTGAGTCTGTTCAAGTCGACTTGAGCCAAATAGATTTTCCCATGAGGCCTACCCATTGGGTCAATGAGCCAGTCACACTTTTTGTGAATACTTAAGTCCAAGGGCAGTGAAAACTACAAGAGAGTTACAAAGCTATACTTGATCATGCCACTGTGCAATACCAATAGTTAATATGTCAATTAACCCATGAGGACTGGAAGAACCAATTGACTCAGCACTCATCAGCCATTCATTTAAGTGGCTGACAACAATTTCCAGCTCTTTCTATCACATATTTCCATTGATCAACACCATTTCTCTTTGTCATATGATCCTAAAACAATGTTAACACACTTATCCAATCATTTGTAAAAAAAAAAAAAGTGTGGTCATCCTTTCTATATAACAGGCTACCATAGCCGCAGTTCAATGCGTTAAAAACACCCTTAATTTTGTTTTACGTGATTTTAACTCAAAATGAGCACAGTAACCTCCATTTGTTACTGTCCAATCACGTTATTGAGTGTGCAAACTTTAAAAAATTCAGAAGAGGGGCTTCAGAAAATTTAAGGTTGCTTTGAACCCCTCCTGAGAATTTTTTTAAGTTTGCTTACTTCAGTAACATGATGCCATTATAAAAATGGAGGTCGCTGAGTTTGTTTGAGTTATAGGCTCTTAAAGAGACATTAAAAGTGCCTTAAACAAGTTGTACTGTTGCTATGGTAACCAGTTTTATTAAAACACTCTACCAATGATTGGGTATTTGTGTAGTACCATTGTTGTAGGATCTTACGACAAAGAGTGGTAGTATTGATCAATCAAAGTATAAGTGATGGAAAGAGCTGTTAAATGTTTGTCAGCCACCTTAATATTGCAATCTCAATTCAACATTCACCAAGTACCTTCCCAGCATTCCAACCAAAAACAAGAGCAAAATGTGTGGTGTAACAAATTCACTTATCATCTGATGCAGTTTAGAGCAAACAGAAAAATATTTGGGCTTTTTTCATGGTACACAACCTTGACAGTTAGTCTGTACACAATAATATTAGATCAGATAAATATAATATTCCTATCTGGACTCCCACTTCCAAAATAAGCGCATGGTACTTGCTCATAAGTGAGGTTGGGAGTAATACAAATAGTGGGATTTATTGGGTGGAGCAGGAGCCCTATTGATGCTAGTCTTGATCATGTGATGAAGTCGATTGGGTACATGCCACCTTAAGCAGCACAATGGTTGACTGTGATTGATTAGTTTTCATTCTTTGCTGTTATTGTTGCATTTTGCACTTCAACTCAACAGAACTGGTAGAAGCAAAATTCACCAATCACAGCTGAGGTCATGGAAATCTGCGTACTGCAGCCAACCTATTGGTAACATAAGGAGACATAACTAATCACGCTCATCACCTGATGAAGATCAATACATCGTGACCTACATCACAAGAGACCACTTTGTGAGAAACAATAGTGCCATATTAACTGTGTAATAACACAGTCACCAGCAATAACTTTTTTCACCACATTAATATAAACGAGAAACCTTTCAGATTAATTATTCTTGCAGTTTCAGTTTCATATATTGTACCTCTGACTGACAGTAAAACAATGAACATTCCAGTAAATTTCAACGTAATTACTTTAACAGTTAAATCAGTTTCACTTTCCTAAAACTGAAATCTAATTTTGTCCAAAAATGCACACAATTTCCCAAAGAGCAGAATTTTTTAAGAAATCCTTGTCTTGCACTTGATACACTAATTCTGTATTCATATAATTGGAATTTTTAACAAAGCTGTCTGTAGATAAAAGGTTGGCCATCAGATGTCAGTGTTTTAGTGTTAATGCTTTAGGTTTGTGGAGACCAGAAAAGGAACAAAGTGGACAAAAGGAAGAGACTCAAATGAGAGGTTACTGCTGGCAGTAACAAAAAGTATTATATGGCAGCTCAGCATGTGGGCAAGATGAACCAAATCTTGCACTGTGGTTGAATACCAGAGCAGGAAAGAGGGGCTATCTTGCCTACACAGGATTACCTGCGGTGTCTAGCTTGTGTAGCAAGCATTCCTGTGAGATTAGAGCTTCTGCATTCTGGCCATGTGCAAACTGATGCAAGAGCAAAAACAATCAAGGAAAATAGGGATGGTGGGGAGCCCCGTTTGTGGGCAAACAGGTTTTTCAAAATGAAAGGGTTTGGGAGCAAGCATTCCCTTGCTCGTCTTACCACCCCCTGCTTCATTGGATTTTTTTTTTGTTTTTTTTGCTCTCACTCTTACTTGTGCGTGGTGGAAATGCAGAAATAGCTCTTTGTACTGGAACACTTGCGACACAGGCTAGTGCCCAACAAGGAAATGTTTGTTATGCCATATAATAAATCCTTTATTGACCCAGCTTGGTCAGTTGAGATGGCTGGATATTGGCTAAGTCTTTTTGTGTGTATGTTAACAGACCCCAAATGTGCTTAGTCAATAAACACGCAAACGGAACTTCGCCAACATCCAGCCATCTTGTTCTCACGCTTGGTTGTTAACCCATATGTATTGTTTTCAGATCTGATGGTGATGAAACCAACCATGAGATTTTAAAACAATAATCAGATTGCATTAATGTTACTAATATATTGGTAATGTAATAAGATGCGACAAAATGGACATCTTCTTTAACCTTACTTCCTGAACTACCACAAGAAAGATTTAGCTGAAAAATTCCATACTACTGGCTTGAAATATAGGATCCTTACTGTTTGATTGATTGATTGATTGACTGACTGACTGACTGACTGACTGGCAGTGCAGAACAAGCAAAGGCAAAGGTGCTAAAGACAAAGGGCCTGGCACAAAGCAGCTTTAGCTTCGCAGCTTCATCTTTGCTCGTGCCACAGTGTATGGGAGCCTGCTCACAGGCTAACTGTATAGCAACAACTATATAAACAGGCTTTTTCTGGACCTGGCATGTTCAGTGTCATCAATATGGAATTTTTTGTGACAAAATCCTGGGACAGTGGTTTATGAAGTAATGTCTCTAAAGAAAGGCCTCCATTATCTGACTAATGTGTATCATTTTATAAAACATGTTATTTTTGTGCACAAGTGAACAGTAATATTTATGGAATGCGTTTAAGTTAAATGAAGAAAATCGTAAAATAATCCAGCTTCCTTATGACTTAACCAAGGTCAACTTAATCAAGCTGTAAAAAATATTTAGGATAACTGCTGCTTGTGTTTAAGTCATTGTCCTGGTAACTTCTTAGGAGCACTGTGTTCATAAGCTGTGTGCATATTAAGCCATGTATTTATGTTGCTATAAATAGCGGTGGTAAACAGTTAACTGGTATCTTGTACTTTTATTTCAAATTACAATTCTAGGATGTTCCTAGGACCAAGCCAGTATTAAGGGAGTTGTTTTTACATCGTTAGACTTGCAACAAGTGCCTTTACATTTTTCTAAGAAGGCATATGGAAGTTAGAAACCCAGTGCTCTGATTTAGTTTGGAGTTTGACTACCACCTAGAGTTTGGGAAAGGGTTCTACACTCCTCCCCTGAAGAGGGAGGCATGACACAGGATACAAGAAGGGGTAGAAATCAAGCCTAACTTGGATCATTGACAATTATACCCATGTATTGTTTTGCTTGTACTAAACCAAGAGCCCCTCGTAAAACAGTGAACATTTGTGTCAACAAGCTACTGTGGTGCCCTCCTAAATTTTCAGTGAATTTAATAGAGCTTTTTGTAACTTTCAGACAGTGCAATTTCATTGCACACCAATTAAAAAACAAAACAGAAATGTGGGTTGGAGTTGCTGTCATAAAAGGGTGATTTACTGGACTGTTGCCATGGTAACTAGTCACAAGAGCAGTGTAATACTTGGTTACCATTGCCAGTTTTTGGGGTTAAATGTTGTACAGTGTAACAGAACACAAGTTGTGTGCACTGGCGCAAGCCTTGTCAAAGTTAAGAGCCACTCGTAGAGCAGTTTTCAATTGAGCGTTGTAAGACTAAACCAAAAGCTTTCCAATTAGAATACTCAGCCAAACTTGAACCATAGTAAAACCAAAACCAGAGTAATTGCCTGGTTACTTTTGACAAATCAATTGAAAACCGCTCTAAAAGATAAATTATAATTTTTGAGTTTGTTAGATGAGAACCAGTCTGAATGTGGTCAATAAATTTGTTGAGAAACAGTGATTATATTGGAATATTTTAAGTTGGAAATACTAATGGGCCAAGTTGAGTTGTGATAAGATAAGGCAGAAAGGAGATCATGATGCTTAGTATCAGTTTCAGTTTCATTTTGTAACACTAGAAGATGTGATAGAGGTTCATATCTACTTGACCAGAGAATATTGATATTTTGTCTTTGCTTTCTCTTGACAGGTGGGGAAATCCTCCTTCAACAACGTGCAACCATACTAATTTCCAGATTCTATCTTTCAGCCTTAAACAACTGTTGATAACCCATTTGTCTTTGTTTTGATTTGTGTTTTGTGTTTTTCAGGCCAGTGCACTGCAAGTTCAAAAGATTAGGTTGCCTGTGGCAGGGTCCATTTCATGAGCAAAGGGATCATGAGGATAACTGTGTTCATCCAGGCATGACTGGATTACAACTTATGGAGTCGTTAGAGGTGGTTGATAAGAATCACAAGAACGAGCAGGAACTCTTCCAAAACATCCTCAACTTGCTGTCCTTTGAAAAGATTGCTATAAATGGTTAATATTGTTATTCTTTTGTTATTAACGTCTATAATTAATGTGTCTGTAATAATGTATTTTCCTTTCTTTCTCTTGGCTTGTTTCAATTGCTTTATCCAGTAAATCAGTTATTTGTTGTTTTCCTTTGTGCTGGGTTAGTTCCTCCAACATTGGTTTATCTTCCTGTGTTGTTGACTACTCAAAATGAAATGCTATATCTGGTGTATAATTTACTTAATATCTTAGCTAGACAGTGAAGTTGGTTTTAATGCTCTTTAGTCAATAACTTACTGATTATTTTCTGCCACTGGTGTGACACTGTTGTTTTTCTCATCATCATTACTGATCATGTTCTGACTGTTGCCGATTTTTTCAGGCTTGGTTAGTACCAACCCATGGTGAGACCAAAATCCTTTCACAGATACTACTAACACTGCTTGAATTTGATTCGTTTTCATCCATTACATATGTTGTATCTGGTTATTAACCACATAATTAATTTGCAGCTATGGGTGGGAGGGCAATTGCATTCATGACAAAAATTTCAGTTTCAGAGTATTGCCGCAACTTGTAATTCCTCCTGTTAGCCTGACTTTAGACTTATGATTCTGTGCGTATGTTAAAGCAAATAAAGTTGACCAAATATGGTCTTAATACTATTCATTAGGTACACTGAAAGGCTTGAATCTCTGTACAGGTTACTGACATTTTAAAAACAAGTCTCAGGTGTTACACCTTTCATTGAAAGTAAGCTTTACTCACAAGCTCATTTTCATGTAAATCAAACTTATTTTCATTTGAAGACTGTTGCACTGAGGCAAAGCAGCAACTTGCAAATTGCCATAAAATTGCTCCACAATTTGCTATTGCAAAACTGTATTTGTTTCATCTGAGCTGAGAGATTTTGTGGAAACTAAAAGTTAAATTGCACTTTTGCACTACATACTCTCCATTCTCACAGAACATTTGACAGGGATGCATGCTTTCCTACTAACCAATTCATGTTCACAATCTTCCTAACATCTGTAGACTTGCAGCTCAAGCCATACCGTTCTGATGACTATCTACCACAGCTCTGCTATGAAAGCAGTAGATTTCATGCTCTGGGCCAACAGTGGGTGGTAAAAGCAAATGTTGTCGGCAACGAGAAAAGCTTGAAGCGTGTCTTGACTTATCAGCTTGTACAGAAGGGAAAAGTCAACCTTAATGTCAAGTTCTTAATGCTGCGGAGTCCTTTCAGTGACTTGGTTATCAAACCTGAAGTTCATCAACAGGAGTTCAGTTGCGATTTGCAAGAAAGCAGTTACCATGACCTTGTACTGTTGGACCCCACAGAATGCAACAAGATGCTGGAGGCAAATACAATTAAGTTGAGAATGATCATATTCCAGATTCCTGGTTCAGATTAAGAATAATTTTATTGTACAAAGAATTGAGTGTACATAGTTTTATTTACCAACCATGCCCTCGACTTTTCCTGTTAATATTTGGAATAAAGCATGTAAAGGTGCCATTTTCTTGACACTGGTATTTATGTTTAAAAAATTTACAAAATGCATGCCAAGTATATTTCAATCAATCATGTTTGATTTATCACATTTTTTTTGATTTGTTGTAGAAATACTTCCCATAATGGATCGAGAGAGTTTTAAATATAAATTTTACCAATCATTACAAGTCTTTGTCACTGACAACAGTTTGAATAGTATAATAATTTTTGTTCTAGAATGAAATTACTTAAGTAAGGACCATTTAGTAACATATTTCCTTTGGAGTAAAACTGATGATCCTGGATCATAGTCATGTGTGGATTGTTAACACCAAAGATTTCCTCTAGCCGGTATCCTCCATTTCTTTTTTGTCTTTCAGCTTCCCCTAAGAAAGTGTTATGTTTGAACATGGCATCTTAAAGAGAAAAATAATTTTGTTTCACTTCCATCTTTTTAAAGGCCCATTTCCTAGTTAGGTAAAGGGCCTGATGAATTAATGGTGAACATCGTCCTAACTACTTGAACAATCAGAAATTAATTTAAATCCATCTTTTTGATGTAAATATTTTATTTGAAGTGTTAAGAGAAGACCTTTGCAGAAGCTAATATAGGTATACAAGTACAGTAGCTTATATTAATTTCTTTGCTTGAATATTGCTGGGCTTGAACATGTGTAACAATTTGAAATTAACTCAATTTTAACAGTTTGTAATAGCTCTCAATATCAGAGAGTAATATTGCACATTTTATATATGTACATAACTGTAATAAACCAGAATTAACTATTAAACAGCAATTGAACTACACCTGTTAGTCAAGGTTGAGAAAAGCTAGTAATGGCAGTAAGTCAGCTTTAGAACAATATCAGTAAATAAACAAGAACATGCAGGCAGTTTGCCATTATGGTACATTAGGAGTTCTTTGAACTGCATCCTTTTATTGATCTGCCTATTTACATCAGTGTTCATGTTTTTTAAATATATTGTTACAGCCACTATTAACATGAGGGACAACTGAGCCTGAATAATTGGTGAAGTTTCTGAAAGTGTGGCAGCTCTCCTAAGCTTGCAATTTTATTTGTCGTCACAGTGTAGCAGCTGTTATTGTTTTGTGGCTGGGGGCATTGTTTCTGTTGTTTGTTCTATTGTTTCCTTGAAGGGTATCGAACCATTCATGTAAGACCTTGCAAGAGCTGCTACCTGACTTGAAATTTCTGACGCTTCCAATTCACTCTCCTGATTTGGGTTGTTGATTTCAACCGCAAGTTATATGCGAAAAATACTACATTTGATTTTTAACCAAGCTTGCCAGATACTGAAGTGGGAGAATTGTAGTGACTGCTCTTTATCTATAAGGTCTGCATGTACAAAAGGACATGTTCCAGGGATATGTAGCAGCAACACATAGCAGCATCAACCAGTGTTGCACAGAATGAAAAGTAACAGCACAAACAAGGGAACGTGTCACCGCAACATCTCCCTGTGACATGTCCTTTCATGTGAGCTTGAACTCCCAGTATGACCCTTATCCTTGGTTTCCAAGATAAGTCACTTCCAGTTAGCATTCTCTCATCAGAGTAAAGGGGATATTGCAGTTAGTACTCACTGTAAGTGCATGCATGTGGCTTCAGGAGGCTACTGCACCCCCAGGCAGGGAGTCTAAGTCAAGAGCCCTTGAAGGAAAGCCCAGTTGATTCATTTCAAACCCCACACTATATCCTGCATCAAACTTCACAAGGCTACTACTGACTCACCTGGATAGGATACAAGTTCAATTCAGTGTTCCCCTTCCAGCATTAAGCCTTCTCCAGAAAGGAAAGAGTATTGTGAGTCTTGCTCATGATAACCACTTAGTAACCCAGTCCTAATGTAAACCTAACCCTAAGATTCAACCTGTACCATGGGAGTCCCGCACTTACAATCTCTAACCATTACCTGCAGTACCTCGTCTCTACTACAGCAGAAATCCAAACAAAGCCATGGTCTTTTCTCCGATTATAATACTGCTTGGAGTAAAAATAATACAATGTGTTCTTCCAAAAAATATCCATATCCCTCCCATGGAAGGGTTTTTTAGTTTGAACCCCAGCCCACTGGAAATTCCAGATCAGCTTCGTACTTTCCTTTGAAAATTTTTACTTTTGAAACCCCCCCCCCCCCCCCCCCCCCCATTTCAATTACCCTTCCTTGGGGTGGGTATGAATATTTTCTGGAACTGTACATTGCTAAATAAGAAAAGTTTCTTTCATATGCCACAACTTCAGACTTTCTAACAGCATATTTCATAAAGTAAAATGACTATTTGGTGAAGACAATAATTGTATGTACAGGTAACATGGTCCTCACTCAAAGTCATGCCCATTTCATAGTCCCCTTAATTACTGTAAGTGGTTAGAAAGGAAAAGTATCAAACAAAATATAGACACTGTACAACTTGCTTGGCACATCTGTTTATTAATTACAGATCAACTTTCATGCGTACAATCCTCCATCTATCTGATGATTTGTGTCTGGCAGGGCTGTTGTTGCAAGGAAGGGAAATGTTATTTATGCTGCTGAATCTTTAATTTACGTACATGTAGGAATCATGCTAAAAGAAACCAAGTCAAAAGGTTGAGCAAAGGAAGAAATATTTTCAATTTTATTTGTTTTTACTCTACTCTTCCTTTGCTTTGCCAACACTAGAACAACTGCTATGCAGGGTAATGAAATATTAAAGAGGCAATGTATTGTTCAAGAGAATATCCATACCCATCATTTGTAGTTCAGGTTTGAATCCTACACTGGAAATTCCAGTTCAAAACCTTCTGACTATTATGACCACCCACCTCACTGGAATTTCTAGTGACCTTTTATCAGGAGAGTATAGACATTTTCTAGACAATCAAGTATGGCAACGACTTGTGACAAAAATTATGACAATTCCTTTTTTCCTACAGTAGTGTTTGCATGTTAATTCCTTTTTTTCCTACAGTAGTGTTTGCATGTCACAATAACCCTATTTGATCAACCCATGCATTAGAAGAAGATTTCCTCCAGCCAAGATGTAATGGAACCAATCTACACCTGGCAAACCAAGAAATGTGATGGATTCAACTACGCTTGCTAGTCCATAAGCAAGAGCACCAGTAGTCCCGTAAAAGTTTGAATACATGTAAGTGACTAAAAGTATTCCCAACACAGCTATGGTGCTGGCTGCTGTAGTTAGCATCTTTTCTGCTGGACTGTGGATTAAGGAGAGAACAAACGCAATCACAGAACTCACCAAATGGAACTTGGCATTTGCAGGTTTGTGGTGATGGAAACAGAAACCTGCTGCAATAAGAGGAATCCCTGCAAAATATTAGGCACAAAAATGTTTGAGAATCATCATTGAACACAAAAACCAATGAGACAGTTACAGAATTTTTAATCCATAAATTCTGGAGGTGGGGGGAGGGGGATTGCTTTCTTTTCTAGTTTCTTTTGAGGGGGTTGGGGCTACTGTTAATGATGCAATTACAAAAATTTGGATAATATGTTATTACAAAATTATCTAAACTCTTTATTTGCCTAGGATGTCCATTTGTGCTCTTCTACAGAGCCAGGAAAATTGACAAGAAAATTATGATATCTATTTTAAATTTGCTGAGACCAACATTACACCTGCCCTGTGAACTAGTGTGTATTGTCACTGAGCATGCTTCTTTCTCTTTTGCCAGATTTATGGCGTGGCTAGCCACCCAATTCCTTTACTCCTAATTAAACCATTCCCTGTGAATGATGAGTAAGCAAACGCGCATTTATTTTATGGAATAATAGATAACAGGATGATAGGCCTTGCCACTAATACCTAAAGTACTACTATATAGAATAGGCTGAGCTTATTTTCATGTTACTTTTTTTGCGGGGGTAGGGGTGGGCTGTAATAAGCCTTGCCAGTCCTACCTACAGTTGAAGCTATCCATGTGAAAAGCGCATGCAATCGAATCACTTTAGACTGAACATTTGGAAAAGCCACTCCAAACTTTAGAACGCCAAAAGATGCAGCAATGGAAACACACAAGAAACCCCAGGCAGCATAAACTGACGTTCCGTGAACATGGACCGCCGCATATAATGAACATCCCGCTAGAACCAAGTCAGACACTGCTGTCGATACGGCTTTTTCACTCATAATTTTGCCGAATTCATTGAAAACAATTCAGCTCTGCTTCGTCCACCATATTGAATCGCCCGCGATGTAAACTACCAAGAAACACGCGCTAAAACGTCAGCGTGCGCATATCGTGCACAACCAAACCACTGGCAGAGTGCGTTGCGGATGCACTCGATGCTTTCGATCATATTTTGAACGTTCTGAACCCTTTTGAACGACGTTTTGAACGATGTTTTGAACGATGTTTTGAACGATGTTTTGAACGATGTTTTGAACGTTCTCTGCAGGAAATTTGGTACTTATGCAATATAGAGAAACAGCAACAAGATGAACATTTTACCCAAAAAAAGGTAACTAAATTGTAGCGAAATTGTGGAAAACCAGCCGTGAGGTCACATCTGCAAACTATAAACAGTCCCGTCTCCTATAACTATCATAGGACCAAGGAAACTGACAGCAGGCATACAGTGCTGTATCCCACCACAATACAAACTTTATTTAGAGCGGGTGATTTGATACTGAATTTATTTTTAATTTGATTATGGTCAGTTGTATCAGTTGTATATTAAATACCATAGGGTAATTTTATAAATCATTTTGTTTATTATTTCACATTTATTAGTTAATTGTAGGTCCACATCAGCCTCACTGGCTGCCAATCTTTGTAACCTGCATTACTAAATAAAATGATGATGATGGGTTGAGAACTATCCTAAACATTCTTTGAAAATTATACAAAACCTTGTTGTTAAGAAGCAATACTAGGGGGATTTATCTCAACCTATAGGAACTTTGTAAATCCTGCCTTTGGGTACACCAAAAGATTTCTGGTTTTGTTCAACATCTGTCAGTATCTACACATAATTTTGTATGGCAAATTAGCAGTTTTCATTGAACTGTTGCAACATTTACTTTTGTTTTTAGAAAAACCCTAGGTTTCAATAAATTGAAATCTTCCTGGTTTAAACAACCTTTGCCCTTCCCCTCTCCTGCTACAAAGGTCAATTTGTAGTGGGGGAGGGGTGGTAGGAACTGTTTTGCTCTGAGGATTTAAGAGTAAATAATACAGGCAGACTGGGGCTTCATATACACCTACATGTTTGTTCCTTTCACTCCTTTGAAACTAATAATATGCCTTAAAAATTATTTTTTTTACTACAGCAATTGTGTATTTTATTTAATTTTTCAGTTGGCATGTGCGGAACATCGACAATATTGAGCGAGTACGTCGTGATGAAGAAAATGCAAGATTAGAAGAACAGGAAAGAGAAAGAAGGAAAGCTCTGGCAGTGAGTTGTCATGGTTATTATTTTTATAAGCTGCAAAGCTACGATATGTAGGTCCAGGAAATATCCATACCCTACCCACAGACAGGATTTTTTATGACCCCCCCCCCCCCTTCCTCCCTCGCACCCCTCTGAAAACTCCAGTTAAGCTTCATATATTACTTGTAATTTTTTGGTCTAACAGAAATCACCCCCACCCCACCCCTAGGAAATTCCAACCCCTTCTGTGGGAGCGGAGTATGAGTATTTCCTGGAAAATGCACAATAAATTGTACTAGCAGGGTTCAAAATTGCGACTCACTGGTCGCCAATGTGACCAAAAATTGAGCACTGGCGACTAAATTTTCAGAACTGGTTGCCAGCTGGCGACTCGCATTTCGTCCGATAACTAAAGAAAACCACGACACAACTTTTGTTTGTAAATCTCTATTTTAGGAAATCAATCGGATATGGTAGCTAGTATACAAACTCACCTTTCTGTCCCCAGTAAAATAATGTCTGAATATTACACGATAATCGAAAAAATTGAATGCATATTTCGACACGTCGATACTGCGTTCACGGCGCGCCATACTGTTTCAGCCGCTTCTTCCGAAACTGGGATCGCAGGCGCACTTCAACGACATGTGCTTTTCATTTGCCGCGAAAATGGCGACAGATACCAATCAGTTGAAGAATTATGTGAGCGAAAGGCGTCGAGGAAAGCAAGTACAAAATAAAGCAAGGCATTTTGAAGAAGTAGCAAAGGGAAAATAGGCAAGGACCCGTGTTTGTCTCACAATGAAAACCACGCACTTGAAACATTTTATGCTTCGCTTCATTTAAAATGACTGTGGAGACAACCATCATCTTCGGAGCTGAGACATACCATCTGAGAACAACGGTAGCTTTATAACTAAGTGTTACTCGTGTTGTTTCTAATTGTTTTCGCTCTTCAATTGTGACTTTTCTTGCATGCAAAGTAACGTATAAAATCGAGTTCTTGTGTAAGTTATATATAAAATAAGTTGGCGACCAAAACTTTTCTGTTAGTCGCCAGCTGGCTCCCGAACGAAAAAGTTAATTTCGAGCCCTGACTAGGTGCTCCTAGTATCATTTATTAGACTAAAACTTTGAACTGTGTTTAGGAGCAAGAGGCCAGAACAGCCTTACTACGTGGTCGTGCTACCAGAAAGCAACTCAAAGATGAAACATGCCATGAAAAAGCAGTTGTTACAGTTGATAACAAACCACAACATCTTAATTTGTTTGCTGACATTGAAGAGAAGGTATGTGACACAAGACTTGGATAACTTGAGGACATTTTTTTGCTGATGATACAATCAGTGTCCCAGATAACAGGAGGGTCTGTGGTCAAAAACTTGCTAAGGTCTTGTACCTGACACTCAATTTATCCACTGACCTGTTCAAATATTTCCTTGTAGACGCATTGCTTTAAAAGTAGTCTCTGCCATTTATATCGGAACTGTGACGACAATTTTATGTTTTGTAAATGGGCTTTTGGACAGCTTAAAAGGAAAGTTTCACTATACATTATTTGTGAATTGTGCTCCTATTTTGTAGAACCTTCAGGACAGGTGAAAGACAAAAAAAGTAAACAAAACCATTCGCCATACAACATACTTAACTGTCTGACTATAGATTTATTGACCAGATAATTTTAGAACATCACAAGGGAAGGGTTTACTGGAAAAATGTTGCATGGGACTAATAATAATAAATACACCCAGGTAATTCAAAAGTTTTGTTCCAGCTCAGTCATGGAAACAACCGTGAATATGAAGCTGAGAAAAAAGCTGAACAGGAAAAAAGGGAAAAAGCCATCGGCCTTTTAACTTACCTTGGACAGAGTGAAAGAGATGCACAAGGTCTGTTCAGTACTCTCTCCTATCTAGATTACTCAATACTTAACTAAGTTAGTTCAGGCAGCCAATAACTAAAATAAACTGAACTGGATACTGTTCCAAATGATGTTGTGCAGTCGTCAACTTGTTCATGAACTACTGGTATGTAAGCGACTTTTTCTTCCAATTTTCTTTTCTTATTTTACAATGTCAGATGATTGTTAACACTAAGTTGGTTCTTAATCAGAAGTGGTTAGTGCACGCTTCACCTTTACGGTGTCTTTCCAATTATCATACCATTTTCTGTAGCATGATGTCCAATTAATCAAGCTTGCTGAAGACTGTACTACAAGGATATCAAGTTTTTTTTTTGTATGGACCTTGCTGTGTTTGGTCTGTACTGTCTAGACCTCAGGCAAATATTCTCTCAATACAACCCTCACTATTTATTAATAAGGTATATGTACTGGAGTCACTGCATTGCAGTTTATAGGAGGTGTATGTATATGACATAGAAGGTGTAGTAGATCATGTCACATTCACAGGCACTACTTTGAAAGTAGCACAAATGTGGAGTAAAATGCAGATTTTGAATGGGAATCTGCTGTGAAGTGTTGTGTATAAACTTAACATATGGCTGTTTGCTGGAGAGACTACCACTCAATCACAGTGAAGTCGTGGCCAGTCAACAATAAAAATTGTTTGTTATTCCACTTTCCTTACATGTAGGTGCAAAGCCATGGTATGTCAAATCACATCAAGAGAGAATGAACCTTAATGCCACAAGTGAAAGGTAACTGATTATGAATCTTTTCTGTAGTTAGTTCATTACCGTTCACACTGATATTTGTGTTAATGATTTGGTAAAACAATTAAACCCATGCAAGGGCCACAGAAACTGTCATAATTATCGAGCTCTCCCAGCTGAGCAGGTTAGTTCATAATTAATACAGTGAAACCTCTCCTTACAGACACCTCTTTAATATGAACACCTCTCTATTACATACAGTTCTCTATGTCCCAACAAAATTCTCACATATTTTCTTCTAAAGGAAACCTTTTTAAGTGCAGACCCTCTCTAATACTGACAAAGGACAGTAAATCTTCACGGGCCCCAGAGGAATGCTCTCTTTGTTTTGTGTCTTTTTATTTCTTTTCCTCTGTGTTTAGCTCTAAAGAAAGTGACAGAAAGAAGCTAATGGATCCGCTGCAAAACATGAGCAAATTCCTTGAAGCCAAGAATTCTAACAAAAGAGACAAAGACAGGAAACACAAAGATAAGCACAAGAAACATAGAGACACTGAAAAGAACTCTAAAACACATCAAAAGAAAAGTGTTGAGCAAATGAGAAAAGAGAGATTAAGACGAGAGCAAGAAGAACATGAACGAGAAAGGAAGCTGCTTGCGTCTGTGAGAAGAGAAAACAATAATAAGGCCACAACTGATCTTACTGATGGCCAGGAAACCTCTAGGTATTCACTCATTGAAACAGATTTCCTTGTTTTAGTTAATTTTGGTGTGTATATCCAGCTGGGAAAGTTACAACTTACTTCCACCTCTTTCCTTATTAGTCATATCTATAACAAAATTCTCGATCGTGATTGGTTCTTGGCACGCCTATTTGTCACGTAATCCATGCAAGATCACGTGGGTGTCCAATTACAACCTTTTTAACTGGATGCCTGTAATTGGATACCTACGCCATTCGCACGTCAATTAGCTGCGCTTTAAGGCTTCTTTCTTAGTGTTTCCTACAGTTTTTCAAACTTTCGGACAGCGTTACCAGCTTTTTTCGTTCCAATATTCTCAAAGGAATTTTTTGATCACAGAATTTTTAATTGATACAATTAAGAACGTGTGCGCGAAAATTTTCCAGTCAATAGATTTTTTTAAAACTTTTACTGCAGTCAGATAATGAGTTACTTGTGTGAGAAATGCAAAAAAAAATGGGGTCACTGACTTCGTTTCAGAGATAAAGCATGTGGAAAACTACCCTGATTTTGAAAAATTGGCGCACGTAATTCAGCGTGGTCTTCAGGGATTTGTAGTTAAAAATATCGAAGGTGAGTCAACCGAGGAAAACGATCTTAGTTGTATTTTGTAGAAATGGGTCTGTTGCGTAAATAATTCCAAATGTTACCAACGTTTTCACAAAACCTAACCCTTCAAGAGGCATTTGAAAGCGTCGCACAGACAAACGAAGAGCTAGAGAGAACGAAATTCGATGGTGCACTTTGCAAAAAATTCAAACTTCTAGTCGATAGATTTTCTTCATTTTTTCGCTAAACGTAGAAAATCGAAAGAGAAAATGATCCATCAAAAGAAAAATAGGGGTAACCGGACGTCCAAGATCATTAAATCCAAGAAAAGCAATGGCCATCTGCCCTATCATTGTTCATTTTATTACTTAGCGCGCGCTCACACATGACGTGGCGTGTGAATTTGCGTACGCAGTAAGGATGCGCAGAAACAATTAGCGCGAACGTCCTTAAGTACTAATTGCATCTTGTGTCGTACAATTTAGGGAGTCAGTAATCGTGCTTGTAATTTCAAATCGCCCTCGCGCCGTGCACTCGGTTTTGAACTGAATTACTTGCGCGATTACTCCCTAAATTGTACTTCACTCCGTCCAATTACTAGTACTTACTTGTTTGATTTAGTTTAAATTCTTCCTTGTGTATTGGTTTTGTTTCAGGTACAATTCTCAATACAATCCAGAGTTAGCCAGAAGACCTAGGAATGATCGGCGTTACCGACCATATTAGGTTAGGACTTCGTCGAAAACTACCGAAAATGACCGACTCCTTCAAGTAAGTTTGCCGAAGAGATCCGATTAGAATCACGAGTTCTCCGAATATTGTCGACCACTATAAGCAAGTTTACCGAGCCAGAGGAGAGCCCATTTCTCTCAGCAAGTTGACCACAGGAGTATTGAGACGAGCAAGTTCAACAATTTCAGTGAGTTTGTGAAAGTGAGCGGCCAACCATGATGATTGGGTAAGTCAAAGTTTGGGGACATTCGGTGAGAGACATCTGAAAATAATCCAAGAACTGGCCAAGGCCAATCATCGTATGGAAAAGAACCAAAAACCTACGGGTACTCCATTTTGATTAAAGATGGTGACAATGTGCTACAACAAGCTAGCTATAACATATTATTTTTTTACCACAATTGCTACTGATCTCGCAATCTGATTGGCTAATTTGCCGTTGTCGATAAGAGTCCAGACAACACTGCTCGCGTCAATGTGTCATGTGATGCCTTTTTCTGCTCGCGCTCTGAAAAAACATTTTCTCTGACGTTGGGGTAAAAAACAAATCGAAATGTGGTTTAGCGTGGTCTGTCCTCTTATCGACAACGATACGCGTCATCACAGTGGTCAAAATTTGTTGTCCACAACATGTTTACCACTGTGATGACGCGTATCGTTGTCGATAAGAATACAGACCACGCTAAACCACATTCGATTTGTTAAATTCCACACTTCCAAAGAATAGTGACTTTTATTAGTATTAAAATAATGTTAATATATGAGTCAGTTAAAACTGTCCTCCCTTAGATTATAAAACGTTTCAAGTCACCAAACGCCGGTGGCAAACAGTGCTGTTGTTTTTTCCCAAATTGTCATTGTATCACACAATCGGAAATAACACACTCAAACACAAGCACAGGGTAGCCATGTGTACACATCATTAGCAACAAATTCAAAGCCTTCACAGTCAAGTCTCATTGTGGCGGACACACTCGGGGACGTCGTTTAGTGTCCGTAACACAAGAGTCCGTTATGGCGGGGTATGAGATAAAAAAAAAGTGCAATAAACAACATAGACAATGTCTGTGAAGCAAGGGCTATTGTGCAGACAAATATAGAATAGATGTGAAAATAAATATTCCAGAAGTCTTTTGAAGTGTATTTTGACAAATAATGAACAGCAGACTGTAACTTGACATAATTATGTTATATGAGAAGTACGTGGAGTCCGCTTTATCGAGAGTCAAAACAATCAAATTTAAGTTATACAGAAAACTATGAATATTATTTAAGAACTCAATTAATTGACGTAGTATACAAAACACGTTTTAGGAATTGCTGAATTTCAAAATTCCTCAGGAAGCTGGTCGCATTGAGTTGGAGCAATAGAGCAAATAATTGATAAATGTCATCAATTGGGTAATCCTTAAACAAGTCTTGTTCTCAGTAAATATCGAGCACTTCGTCGAAACCATAAAGCAACCACGACAAAAAAGGCAACAGAAAACACGAAACAAGCGAATAAATAGGGAGAGCTTCTTGTCTTCAATAGAGTCCTGGATAAAACTGAAAACAAAGCAAAAACCAAAAGGGTTAACTTGTGAACTAATCTGATATTAAGAGAAAACCAAGACAAAACCCTCACTTAGTAAAGTTAAGAAGACGGTCTGACTAGTAACCGGTCGTTTAACCAAGTTGGTTATACTCTAACCATTTTCCCCCAACTAGAAGTCGAAAACACTGTCTATTTCTCGTTCTTTGAGCGTGAATGGGGGCTAATCGACTTCTGGTTATGGGTTAACCGGGTAGCGGCTAACCGGCTAATCGACTTGGTGGCTAAACGACATACCACGCCTTTTCCGTTTAAACTCTTGTATAAGTCGCGTTCCCTCACTGGTGAAGGCTCTCCTTGAGGCCAGATAACATGTACAAGGTTAGGGGTGGTTTGGGATAAAAACTAAATAGCTCCTCAAACGAGTCAACTGAAGTTTCGTACCTGATTTGTTAGGATTCACAAGTGTTGAACCAACACCAGTAATGCTCCGCACCATGTGGTTGTACTGGAATACAAAATGAAGTAATAATGTGTGAAAAAAAAAAGAATACAAACAAAAATCGTAGATAGTTCCGTTAGTGTTGTGTGTGATAGCTGGTGTAGCATACACCACAGATGTAAACCTTTTTATTTTTTTGAGCCCTCTGATCGGTTTACTAAAGTTTGGTACATTTTATCTGAGATTCGAGAGGAAAATAGATCTTTCTTGACTGGTCAAACCACTGAAACCAAGTGTAAGATCTTTCAAAACAGACGAGAATACTCACCTGGTCTGTAACATAGACAATTTTTCTTTTATGATCAAAAGTCAGTCCAGTGGGATGAAAAAACTGAGCTTGCCTGCCGACTCCATCCCTGTAGCCCTCTGTACCACCAGCCAGCGTTCTAACTTCGCCTATCCATTAACAATAATAACGCGTCATAACTCCCTTAAAAGTTCTCATTGTCTTAATGGTTAAAACGTAAAGCATATTTTTCAGCAACCCAATACCACAAGCTTTCCATGGAAAATTTTCCTTAACCCCGGAACTAGAAAGTTTGTAATGTAACTCAGAGTAGGAAAAACTCTTGGAAATCCAGAAAAGAGAATTGCTTTGTTCACTAACAGAGGTCTCCCTGACGACTGGAGTTAACCAAAGGATTTTAGTCGTTGAATGAGATGGAACTGTTAAGTCCATACACTTACCTGTTGGCGTGACAATCCTTACAGCGTGGCTATCCTAGAAAAGAAGTTACAGTAAAAGCAATTTGTTTCTAAGCTTCTGGTACAGCTTAAAACTGACCACGCCCATCGCCATATTTCTTTGGCATCTTAAATGTTTGCACTAACTGTCCCGCCAAATTCTTTGGCGATGTTTTCTACAGTTAGCAAGATGAGATACTTGTGATGAGGCAATGCAATTCAACAAAATGTTTAAGTGACGCTGGGTTCAGAGGTCGGTCAAAGCGTTAACTCGGGATTTATTGAATCAGCTCTTTAAGAGCTCTTCTTAGAAAACAGATGGTTGGGTCAGTGTAACACGATTTTTGGCGAATGTCAAAGAAATCAGAGCTAACTAAGAAAGACAAAACCTCATGTGTTGAAGTCTATCGTCAGTTACTTCACTTCTCAACATGTTCTTTTCAAATTTTTCAAGTGCTGTTTTTACAAACTCAAACCGAGGTTTGCGAGCCTCTCAAGATCACATTAAACTGATGAAAATGTCAACCGAACAAATTTTGTTACCTGAAGAGACATAAACATACTCACAAACTCAACAACATAAAGGATTTGATGGTCCGTGTCAAAGTATAGTCCTTCGGGATAATTAAACCGGGCTTCTTTTCCTACACCGTCCTTGAATCCTTCTCGTCCACCGCCAGCAAGTGTTTTTACTTGGCCTTCAAATATAAATACTAACGTTACTACATAGAGCAAACCATGCAGACACACAGATTGCTTGTAATTCTTATCACCAACGTAACGTCCGTCACCCTTGCAGTTTTAGTTAACTATCAGCAATGCATTTTCCCATACACCAGGCTGACACGAGACCAAACGAAAGCACACAAATGCAATCGAACACATACGAACGCAGACGAAGGTGCCCGAACGCAAACTAACGCATGCAAAGGCAGACAAATGCAAACGAACGCCCAGAAAGACATACGAATACAAACGAATGCCTACGAAGACATACGAATACAAATGAACGCGTACGAAGACATACGAATACAAACAAACGTAAATATTAAAAGACATAAGAGTACAAACGAACGAACATGAGGGGAGACAAATGCAAACGAATACGCGCCAACGCAATCATCTAACGCACTTGCGGGCGGTGTTGACGGTAGAGAGAGCTGTAGGTATAACAACTTGTCAAATCATACCTAACTCATAAGCGAGGACAGAACACATCGTCCAAGAGACATTAATAAGAAAATAAATATCAACTTACCACTATTTACGTCCACCGTCCGTATAACATGGTTATACTGCAATAATAAAAACAATAGGAGTGAATGGTGAAAATTTATCAATGAGCACGTGGCAAGTTACTGTTTGCTACTGTTTAAATAGAATAAACAGTAGCAAAGTCCGCGGGGCAGCTCTTCGTCCACTGTTTCCAGATCGAATTGGAATTTAGAGGTGTCGGTTTTTGTGGAGAGAGGAAAACTGAAGAACCCGGAGAAAAACCACTGGAACAATGAAACAACCAACAACAAACTCCTCCAGGATTCGAACCCAGGCCACATTGGTGGGAGACAAACGTCCGTGCTCACCAAAGAAAAAGGAGCAATTTTGTAATTGTTGTTAATAGCAATTACGTTATGTCTTATCTATTTGTACCGTAGGCCAGGCTATAAGATCTTATACAACTGAGAAAGAGAAAAACCTAAGACATGAGAAGGAACTGGCGAAGATCGAAAATGGGAAAATGACAAGAAACGGCTGAATTAATGTGGTGAATGTTCCCCACTATTCACTCGTCGCTGTATGCCTTCTTCTCCTGTTTTAACGAGAGCCATTGCTAAANAATGGGAAAATGACAAGAAACGGCTGAATTAATGTGGTGAATGTTCCCCACTATTCACTCGTCGCTGTATGCCTTCTTCTCCTGTTTTAACGAGAGCCATTGCTAAACAAATAATGTCAAAAAATAATAAAATAAAAAGGTACTTAGTGCCCGTACATGATCAGCCACATATAACATCCCAGAATACACGTCGAGTGAGTTCCCTGTTGGATGGTAAAACCTAGCCTCTCTTCCAATACCATCCACCAGTCCCTGGCTACCACCCGCCAGTGTTGTCACTTTCCCTGTTGGAATAAACGTTGGTGAAGGTGAAAGCTTACAGCAGAATCTAAAGCAATAAGCGAAAGGAAAGACTCAATAAACTAAACCAAACAAACGAACGACCAAGCAAAGGTTTGTATTATTTCATCGGTGGAAAATAAAGACAAAATTCACACATGATTCTATCAGCCTACCGTCAGGCAACGAAATGATCCTTATTGCATGATTATCCTGTGTAAAGCAGACATCGTATTTAATGTAACAACTTCAACCAAACATATCGCATTACTTGATTTCCTCTTTACCGCACGATGTCTGATCTGCTATACGATTTGTTTCAACAAATTTTTCACACTTTATTTAACGTCTCACGGAACTAAAACTATGTTGAAAAAGAGAGAAACATCATCAGAAAGTACATTGGCTCACTGAAGCTTGGGATATTCTATTCTGAAACAAGTGATCTGACACCTGCAATGTTTTACCTTCAAAACACTTTGTGACTTAAGTGAGCACTAACAAGCTCTGAGGTAGGTAAGTACACAGTCACGGTGAAATGTGTACAGATCATAATATCTAAGAAAACAAAACACGTGAACGTTTGTAGACTTCCCCGATGTAACTGACCGTATCACTGAGAAACAACCTCCTTTTCATGTTGTCAATTTCCAGATGTTGAGGATTGGTCATCTTAGCTTTGATTCCTACGTCATCATGGAATCCAGGCTCCCCGCTGCCGGCAAACGTGGTTACTTCAGCTGAAACAAAAACTGCAAGGTCAGCTATTTTTGCGCAACAATTTTCTGAGAACTTTTACGTCAACAGTGCATCCAGATGAAACAAACATAGGAAGGAGTAACTGAAGGCACCTGTTTTAAGATCAACTTTCCTTATTCGATCGTTTCCCTGTGTAATCAACAAAAGAAACAGCCATGTTAATTCCAACCCATGATGGAGAGCAAATCAACAGAGGCTGAAGAATAAGACAGTTAATCCGCCAGCCTTATTCCCACGGTCATTCCTCAAGGTATTTTTTGGTCACAAATGGTTTTGGAAATCCAAGGAGAATCCAAAAAAAAAAACACAATCCTGTGACGCAAATTTTGATTACGTGGACAGCCCGAGAGGTTTTGCGCGTTACTTTGCGCGTTGCTTTGCGCGTTGCGTGGATGTTTTCGTAGAGGCTCTACGAAAACATCCACGCAACGCGCGTGGTAACGTTACCCGCGGACAAACTGGGTACCACGTCTTAATTCCTTTGGGAATAAGGCCTGAGCCTCCCTATGGCGACAAGCTGACTTCACATGGAGTATTTTACAACTGTGACATGTTACACGCTAGTCGGCGAGTTGTGGTGTAACTGACTTATCCCAGTCCCACGTGAGACGGAGAGAGATTATTCTTCTGATTCACGAACAGCTTTTTTTCTGAGAAGAATCCAGTCAAGCCTTGGCATTCAAAGCAAGAAATAATATTTATTGAATTGTTTATAAGTAATCAGGCCAACATTTCTAGCTACACAATACAAGGTGACTGAACTTACACTGTCTGCCACATATAAGACTTTTTCCACTTGATCAATGGCCATTCCTGTGAGCAAGAAACACAAATTAGTACAAACGTATGGAAACTCCCTTTCTACGCCATTGTTCTTTTACTTTTGGAGAAAATCGAGACTTCTTCTTCTCTTTGTTAACTAATTCGCAATAATCAATCACAACCTTCAGTATCTTTTTATATACTAAGGACAACTCCGACGAAGACGCTCCCATCTAGTTACAAACAGTTTAATTTTCTTTGGCACGCTTTCCCGAATTCACCTAATCTGGACATTTCAGGTTGATCTACACGAAGTGACTCTACAAAAAAGGCGGCAAAAGTTATGCGCGCGCTCATTTTTGTGACAGAGTTGAATGAGACACGTGAGGAGTGAGACAATTCTTCCGAAATATTCCTCGCAAACACCTCCAGCTGTCCTGTATTCTGGAAAACTATGACAAAAGTAACGGTTTACGGGACGGTCCGAAGACAAAGCGTTGATGAAAACTGTGAAAGACAAATCAGGCAAAGGGGCTGTTTACGACTCCGTGGCTGCCATTGTCAAGAAAACGCTTGTGTTGAAACGAAACTCAGAATCGATGAAGTTGGCTGTGATATAAAACGACAAGACCCAAATGTGAGGTAACAAACTTTACTCAAGCGCTTAGCTTAATCTTATGCAAAAGTCTGTGTTTACTTTCTGAAGGAAATTTTGTCACTTTTTAGAATAGAACTCTTTGCTTCTTTCCTTCTTCGTTTTAGCCCCTCTGTCGCTTTGACAGTCGAAGGTCTGGCCCAAAGGGTCGTTTGAACACCGAATTTCAGTTCACCGTCGGCACTTCTTTTCCATTTTTAAACAAGTAGCAAAATTAAATGCCGGCTACTTTGTACTCCTTACCTGACGTGTGATGAAACTTTGCATTCTCTCCTATTCCATCTTTGTATCCTTGAGCACTTCCTGCAAGAGTCGTCACTCGACCTGTACAGGTAAAGTGAATGAATCCCACACAAAACATAAATACTCGAAAAATTTGATCCTTTTGTTTTGAAGGTTTAAGTCTTCCCTAGCATGAAACATGCATTGCGCCTGCTACCGTGTTAAGACTTTCTTTTTCTTAATCTTTCAATGAAACGCAAAGTTAACAGTATCGTGGAATTCATTTCTCACGCGTGTTACAGAAAAATTTAGCAGGCCTGGCTGGTGTTTGGTTGTCACTAAGGTGCTAGCCATTTTTGTCCTCACACGTGAAGACCTGCCAGCGGCGCGGGGTAAGAGCAAGTTTTGAACATTTCTCTCAAGGAATCACCTTCAATTCCCGCTGCAAAAAAAAGACATGCTCACCAGTGATTACGTCGATTTTCCTTATACGGTCATTACTGTGGACGGTCTCTGGGCAGCCCTGTAAAGTGATAACGGAGAAATACAATCTTGAACTATCTTAACTTTTTAAGGACGATGCGTAATGAACACAAAGGTCTTTTCGTCAGATTAGGACCTTGTGTAAAAAGTAGATCTTATAAAGGGCTACTGGAAATACGAATCCATAGAGGAAATTGGGGTTACCCACGAATTTTCCCGAGATAATTAGTCTTGGATCTCGAACAAAAATGCTGACTATATGAAAGATCATATATTTGAAATTCGAAGAAAGGTATGAAGACATCAATGACCATCGCAGTTATATACACAACTTAAGCAGTTGTGAAATTAAAGCCTGAAAAAAATTCAGGCTTGCACGGGATTTGAACCCATGACCTCTGCGATACCACTACAGTGTTCTACCAACTAAGGTATCAAGCCAGCTGGGAGCTAGTCACGTTATGAGTTCGTAATATACCCGTAGATGGTATGTGAATATATGGAAGATCATATATTTGAATTGCGGAGAAAGATATGGCGTGACCGGCTCTTAGTTGGCTTGATAACATAATAATAATGACAGAATCGCGAACTTGGTAGCATAGCTGATTACGTTAGTTTTAATCCTGGGGCGCTCATGTAACCCATGCCTTGCGTGTGCGCAGAGCGTTTGCGCACTAACAAAAGTAGGCACCGTCCTTAATGAGGAAAATTTACATAGTTAGCTTGGTGTTTAATAAACAGCTGAAGATGGAATGAATTTTGTCACGTGACATCTCTTATCGCTGCGATCGGACATCACCCAAGATGAAAATCGTTCAACATCGTGTAATGGTTATTCTCTCCTACAAAACTCTGTAAAACATGTCACCAAACAGATTTTAGAACTTTCCTGTTCAAGGAATCAGTCCAAGCTAGCTAAGGAATTTTTTAATGTCGTTCAGATGATATAATATCTTGGTCTCTTGACTATTTTGAGAATCTGTTAGAATGAATTATTCATTACAACTGCTTGTGTACTACATTGCATATTCATAAAATCTATCGTTAATCATCGAAGTAAATAAGATCGCTTGAATCTTATGAGGCTGTGTCAACTGTTCTAGAGCTCAGGAACAAGGGAATCTCAAATAAGCTTTGTTCCGTTTCATTGGGCAAAGTTCTGTATTCTAATGAATAACTTAAATAAGGGCATCTCAAACGGTTAAATGAACAGACGTATGTGAAGACGTCAACTTTTTCTAACTTGCGATCGAAAGAAAGTTAGGTTTTAAGGTGAGGCACTGATTTTTAAACGAATTGAGAACAAAGAACTTAGAGGGTGTTGAAAACAAGGAGGAAAACTAGGTTTTATTAACATACAGAAAATATATTAGTATGCAGGTTTTCCTTGAGAAGTGCGAGTATTTCCTAGTCCAAAATAAATACTTCGTTAACCTTTCATTGAACAGGTAATTGCCTATTTAGAAAGCTTACCATCTTCCTACCTTTGACTTAATAAAAGAAATCATTTCTTTACAAACTAAAACAGCTGAAACTCACACTGACTACAATGAGTTAAGAAAAGTTAACTATAAAATGGCAATCATGTGCTATGAATCAAAAGAGCTAGCGAATGGTGCGAATGTGGTATCCCAAACTATTCCAAAATATGCTCTAACAAACTCAAACTACAGAATTGTGAGTATTTAGTATTGAATATAACATAGATACCTGTATAGATAGAAACATTAAATGTAATTCCTACACAAAAACCATCGAAGAAAGCCTTTTTGCCGCATATTTCGCGCAGTAATAAACATAAAATCCCCTGTATACTTACACAGTCAGCCACGTAAAGCACATTTTCTTGGGAGTCAAACTCGATACCCCAGGGGTAATTAAACCTGGCGTTATTTCCTATCCCATCCATTGCAGTAGTTTTGGAATCCACGCAGTCTTTATGGCCGCCTACATGAGCTTTTCCACCACCGGCTACTGTTCTTACAACACCTGTGGAGACGGTCAGACAAAGGAAAATCTCTCAGTTTTACCTTAGTTATGGAGATGGATGCTGGATACCAGGCGTAGTCAATCGATAAACCGATAATCAATATCAATCGAAAATTGATATCGAATGCCGACAGCAATCGATGAAAATCGACAAAGAAAGAAGTTGTGAGTTATCGATTGTTATCGATTGCCGATAGTAATCGATAGCGATTGATTCATCGATTGATATCGATAATTATGGATTGTTATCGGAAACAATTTTTGTCCTTTCACAAGTTACACTGATACAAAGTTTGATAAAATTTGTCTATAATGATTTTATTTGAGTCAATTAATTTATCATAACCTGCGTATCTTTTACAATCATGGACAAAATAACAAGAACGGAAAAAAACTGGCAGAAACATTTTGGGCTAGGTTACATCTTTCTTTCTAGTTTACGACACCAAAAGAAGCCCAGCCCAGAGTAGCAACATAAAAGCCTCGAGTTCCAGTCTCATTGTAGTGTCGGCATAATGATGAAGCAACAGAGTCATAACGTTCTAGTGATTTCAATCATCTGCATGAGGAAACAAACGTAAGAGTAGATCTCGGGAGCAGGCCAAAAGGAAAGTATAATCTAGCTAGCATGTTGTTCCAGCTATCATTTTACACAATAACAAAGCCTTCTGAATAGTCCGGCTGGTTATTGTCGATTTTTTTTAAAAGATTTTTCCCAATCGATAGCAATCGATAAAGAAATTTTTCTGAGTTATCGATTGTTATCGATTGCCGATATCAATCGATAGCAATCGGCGACTGATTTCGATTGAACCGATTGATTTCCGATATCGGTTTTTATCGATTGACTACGCCTGGCGGATATTGTTTTAATATTTCGAAACTTCCTGGGTAATCAGAAAAAATCTACATATTTTAGCAAGAGATCCTTGCGGTTGAATTTCCAACACGAATTGCCGAATGAGTCAGCATTCGAATTCCCTTCAAACTTTTACCGTGAAGCCTTCTTATATTATTCAACGTAAAACATCAAAATCTGCTAAGGTACAACCTGATGTTACTAATCGCACCAAATCGAACGTTCGATTAATCAACTCAATCCAACTTAATCGAACGCAATCAGGCGATTGGGTTCGATTGAGTTCGGTAATCGAACACAATCAACTCTCACAAAAAAATTTGACCAGTCGAACGCAATCGAACGTTCGGGTGAGTTCGATTGAGCTCTGAAGAGGCAGAGAGCTGACTTTCAAACAACTTAAAGCGAATTGCAATTAATTAGTCCGGCAAATTTAATAACTTTCCGTAGGAGGAAGATAAATTCCAAATGTTGGAAACGGGGTTCAGGGAACCAAAAAGTTATGAGGGTAACGGATAACACAAATATATACGGAACAAAAGGGAGACACAAAGGAAATACGAAATAGCCGCAACAGGCTCGATCAAGTTCGATTAGCACGATTGGGTTCGATCAGGTTCGTTTTCAAGTTATTTACTTTGATTCTAGACGGCATCGCTTGCTAAAGATATTGATCATTATATTGTTTTTTCTAGCCACCTCTGTGGATGTTTAAGTTCATTGAAGGATTTTTTGCATGGCATATTTACATATTTACATGGCAAAGGCAAAGTGGGAGAAGTCGAGTCTGCGCAGTAATCTCACACACATGGTTTCCGACGAAATCGCCAGCTACGAAGACGACTTGGGACTCCGTAGGTTGATAAAAACAAATCATAACATGAAATAGGACTGCAGTGAAGAAAGATTAATTTTCTATTGTCCGTTGAACTTTACGTTTCGGGATTTTTTTTTTTGCGATTTTACAGACAGTTTATTCTTTCAATATATTTTCCATGCCAAAAGTCTATACATCAATACAAATACTACTAATTAATTATTCATTTGTAGCTCTTTAATACTTAGACAGACTGTTCAATTATCTGGTTGTATAAAGGTGAATTTAAGATTTTTCTATTGTGTTCGATTAAGTTCGATTGGGTTTGATTAGTTCGGAAATCGAACGCAATTGAACTCTCTCACACAAATTTTTGGACTCGATTTTGTTCGATTATCGAGCCAATCGTTCGATTTATTTCGATTGAGTTTGATCGAGTTCGATTACCGAACGGTTCGATTAGTAACGTCAGCGGTACAGAAACAACAGATTTTCGTCAACAGTCCACGATACAGTCGCTTGAAACTTTTAACTTTTAATTTTTACTTGAAGGGAAAATAATCGCGGCGATTGAAAAAGGACGTCAAAATTAGTGTTTTGGCCAAGTTGCAGAATAAATAAATAAATAAATAAATAAATAAATAAATAAATAAATAAATATAACACAACAGTCTTACGACTGACAAACCCGTGGCCCTCGAATTCCCGATCGAATTGGAATTTAGAAATGTTGATTTTTGTGGAGGGAAGAAAACCGGCGAACCCGGAGAAAAACCCTCAGAGCAAGGCGAGAACCAACAACAAACTCAACCCACTTATGACAGCGGGTCCACGATTTGAACCCGGGCCACATTAGTGTGAGGCCAGCGCTCTCACTACTGCGCCACCCCTGCTCCCCTAGAATGAAATCTTGAATAGAGTGTGTTCACGTGACGTCATCAAATTCTCAAATCCAAAACTAAAGAGCCCCTGAAGGTTTCATCCACATCAGGCACAAGAGGTACTAAATTTATCTCTGTTTACAACTTTCCAGCGCGGTAGCAGCATTTGAAAACACATATTAAGTGGCCGGGTATTCTGAAGTTTAGCCAGATAATCAGTTGTCTAGATAGCCAAAGCAAGTTCCAGATGTTTACACTATTTTCCGGCGGCGATATTGGAGGACTTAGGAGGTCCTCCAACATGGCGGCTCCATACTAGGCTCTGTAATTTTGCGCGGAACATTTCGACGAATATCTCAACTTTGGGACACACCTTAAACTTGGAGAACTGTCTTCTTTATTTATCGTCTATAATATCACAATTTCTTTACTTTATCCACTGAATGGTTTTTGATTTTATTTTTTATTGCGTGACAATGCACACACTCAATAGAAGTGAAGCGACAGTCGATTGCAGAACATGTTTGTCGACCACGAAACCCGCTCGAATATCGTGTTACAGTGCTCGTGACGTCCTATGAGGAACAGGCTGTTGCGTGACTGTTGTGCGCTGCTTTCAAAACTAAATAAATCTTTGGAAATAGGACACTTCACAGAAAGGCCTCGAGAGAGAGCTCATATTTTGTCAACAAATGCGTTTAATAAAAAAGCGCAAGATCTATTCTGCAGAAACGAAAGCAGACAACGGTAGCCCGAAGCGCGTTTACAAATTGAAAGTGATTTCCTTAGCGAGGAACTAGTGTATCAAAATGTTGACGATACATGAAACCTGCTCAGACACAATTGGCACAGATGTTTCACTTTAATTGCAAACTCGTTGGTAATAGCGCTTTTTGAGCTGGTTAAAGTAAGATTGTTCAAATACTACTGAAACGAGATGCAAATTTCTGCTGTATCGTTATATTGCTATGAAACCACGGATTCAAGGTTTGTTCAAGCACAAAATTGTGAGATTACATGTAACCATAACATATTTTTTTACCTAAAATACTAACCTGGTTCTTGTGCTAAAACTCTGGTGTGAAGAAGAACTATCGTCGTTACTAGCTGTGTTGAAAACGCCATCTCTGTTACGTTGCTACATCGAGCGACTTGTATTGCGTGACTTCACGTTGCTGTCTCTGTTGTCATTCTCTATTTTCCAATTGCCCATAATTCACTTTGTTTGCCCCCCAAATTTTGCATAAACTATTGTTGTGAAATGCTCTTGGGAGTATGCAGACCTCCCAAGAGTATTTCACAACGATATTTTATGCAAAATATGGGGGGCAAACAGAGTGAATTATAGGCGATTGGAAAATAGAGAATACAAAAGAACAAAGCCCATGGGCGTTTTGTCAATGAGAGTGTGTTAATTAGACCATGTTTAGTCTGCGAACAGGCTCCCGGCGAGGACGGAAAAAAAGTTCGGCGAGCGGGAAACAGAAGAATTCGAAGAGCAAAGCTGTTCGCAGGCTAAACCATGTTAGGTTTGAATGGTCTTTTTAAAATGCATAAGGGTTAAGCTAATTTGACTTCATGATCAATACGTTATAGGTTTTTGTTTCTGCAGTCCTATTCTTTTCTAAGTTCAATTGATTACACTTTCTTGACTCTCTTTTGGATGTCATTTTGACACATAAATACCAGGACACGTCCTTGGAGACCTAAGATACCCGGACTGGTTACTGATTAGTAGCCTGACAATCAAGTTAGCCAGTTAGCGACCTCAATTCAAAACTGGACATTTCGTTTATGTTAGTTGTCAGAGTGTGGTGGCAGATCAACGCAATAAGTGGTTTACTCTATGTTAGCCCGTCAAAAACCAGACGGCGGCTGATCAAACGACGGAGCGATTGTGAGCAGAGGTTTCTCCGGCTCCCAGGGGGGGGGGGTACTCCCTTATATGGGCTATATAGGTTTGAGCGGTCACAAAGGGTAGGGTTTTTCAGCCGTTTTGGTCATAAACAGGGTATCGATTTTGGTCTTAAATAGGGTTTGGTTTTTGTGCTCTAGTCTTGAATTAGGTTTGTTGTTTAGAAGAAGCTACTTTTTCATCATTATCGATAAGATCATAAGCAAAAGCCCTTCAAAACTTATGTTTAGGGCAACTATGTCAGTCGCACCTGTCATAAACAGGGTATCGAATTTTTGGTCAGGTCATAAATACGGTAGGGAAAATCGCAGAGTTTGATCATAAATAGGTTAAGGGTTTTGGGAAGCGGGCCACACACCCCCACCAAATTTTTCTGGGAGTACT